TATTAAGTAAATCGATGATTGTTTTAATAAAATTTTGAGAAAATATCCTCTGAAACTATAATTCTTTAAATTTATTTAAATTTTAGCCATTTATAAATACTTCAATTTTCTTAAAATTTTATTAAATAAATTAATTTTGTATATTAAATAAAAAATGTTCTTCTAATCAAAATAGCCCTAGTTTTATAGAACCAATTTTATTATCAGCAAAAAAAATAGACTGCTAGATATCAATTATTAACTATGGGAATATGTATCAATTGTAACTCTCCTGCTGATTTATAACGATTACGATACAAATTGATATATAACCAAAATAGATAGTAATCGATATATAACCAAATAAATAAAAATTGATATGTATCCAAAACAAAAGAAATCGATATATAGCCTCAAAATGATATAAATTGATTATAATAAATGATATATATCGATATAAATCGATATATAGCTGTAATGATATAAAGTGCTATATTTAATATTACTGCAATTAATTTTAAAAAATATCAAACTAAAAAAATGTAAAACTGAAAAGTAACAAATTTTTTATTTTGCCAATATGCAATATACAATACATATAATAAATGCAATACATAAAAGGTTTATACATAATGTTTTTACAAATAAAAATACAGATATATAAAAAAAAAAGCAATGCTAATGACCAATACTAAACAAGTCATCTTGTTTCTCCTGTGAAAATATCATCAAATTACTTTGGGAAAGGGATGTAGTGTTAGGTTTATGACCAGAATCAAGATTGGTAGAAGCATGTTCATCATTATAAGGCTTTTGTGCAAGTTCTTCATCAACTATCGTATTTGCTAACTATAGGCTAAAATTGCTATTATCGAGATCATTCTAATATAATAAATAAAGATCAAATTACTTTCTAATTATAAATTAGTTTATATTGATTCATTACAATTACTTACCAAATACTGCACCATATGATACTTAATCCGCTTTTTGCTATATGTAATATTCTTTGACCTGAGATTCAATATTATATTATATACTACTAGCGTAAAAGTACAGTGGTAAGAACAAAAGCAGTGGTAGTAGTGAATACGCTTCTTGTAATAGCAGCGACATATAGAACCTCTTCATCATCTTGTTCAAATAGCAATTGCTCACTTCTATATTTTGTTTTCATGCAACTATATCTGCAATCGCAGTATCACTTTTTAGAAGAGTGATTTTTCACAACCGAATATATCTCAAATTGCTAAATGAACATTTTGCAATACTGAATCATAAAGGTACTTCATTTTTTGTAGAAGCTATCAAAAGAATTATCATTAAAAAAAGACAGTTTGTAAAAGCTATTAAAAAATATAAAACAATAAATGAAAATAAAATTACTTACTTAACTATACTACATACCATAAAAATGGTTGATAAACTCATTAGCATTTATATTCACTATAAACTTCAAGAACTTATCATCCAGATAGTGCTTTAGAGCTATTTTCATTCATTTTGGTTTGGATAAATTATTTGCAAAAAAAAATATTTAACAATGCTAATATATACATCCTTCAAAATGTAAAAAAAACACTCAATATAATATACAGATTCTTCACAATATAAAAAAAATACTCAATATATATTTTAAATATATTCTATATTTGTTTACAATACTTATATCCCACACTTTTGCTGATAGATCAGCCCCGATACACTATGATTACTCCTTTGACTTCTCATCTTTCTTCTAAAATCTTCAAAATCATCACTTAATTTCTTGATTAGAAAATATAACCGACGGTTTTAAACAAATAGACATTTTTGGTCTTTTTTTTTGCGGAGGCAGTAGTGTGAACAAGCTCAAAACAGTTTTTTTTTTTTAAAAAAAATGGTAAGATCATAAGATCAGCATCTAAAAAAAAATCAAAAAAAAATTTATATACTTTTATGATCATTATGATTGCATATATGATTCTGATTAGATAATCATCTATCAGGTAATAATAATCTTTTCTGTGTTTGCTGCAGTGATACAGATCTAGATCAATGTGAAATAATATAGGTTGAACTAAGACATATCGGGATAATATCAGCATACCGATAGAGTATAATATGTATCCTAAAGCACACTGTCATTACCTCGATATTTTTGTTCTATAATTAACCAATATGTCTCTGATTTCAAACAAAGATTTGGCTAGTATAGGATACCTATTGGAACTATTATAAATTTAAATAAAGAAAGTATCAAATAAATCGATAGGCTTTTAAATTTAATGATAGATATACCAATCGTTTAATATTTTAAGAAAATCGGTAATTTTTAAGACTATTATTAGTACTTTTAAGTATTTTATTAGTATTATTGATATGGCTTTTGATTTAATTATATTTATATTATATTTATAATATATATACTAATTTTACTAAACAGTATACTGAAAATTTTTAAAGCAATAGAAACTAAATTTATTATTATAGCATTATTTTTAATATATATATGTAATTATATCATTATTCAAAAAGCAGTAATACATGTTTTAATATAACTGTATATTAAACTAACAAATGCAATAATGCGAATTTAACTGTATATATATTTTTTAATAAAATTTTATTGCTAATCTAGTGAATTCTTTCTTAAATCAATTACCTTCATTTTCACCGCTTGCACTTTTAGTTTTTTCATTATTACGTTTTTCATTATTAGATTTATTAGTATCAGCAGTTATACTACCACTTTCACTGGCACTATTGTCAGCATTATTGTCAATTTCTAATTCATTCGCTTCTTCTTCTTCTTCTTCGTTTTCTTTGTCTTTTTTGTATTCGTCGTCTTCTTTATCTTCTTTGTCAAAATGGTATGAAGAAGAAATAGTCCAAAGGGGAGCTTTAACCGGTGGTTTAGATCTATCGATTTATCATTCATCATTGTACAATCACTTTCTGGTATATTTCATTTTTGCAATTTTTTTGCCCACTTTGTCAGCGAGCCACAAAATCTTTTTAACCTGATTTATATAGAATAAAGAAATGCAAAATAATATAGTTTACAATTATAA